CCCCCCGCCCCGCCACGGCCGGGCCGGGCTGAAGCCTCCTTGCCCACAGGAGTGGGAGGACTACCGCCTCACCTGGAAACCGGAGGACTTTGACAACATGAAGAAGGTCCGCCTGCCCTCCAAGCACATCTGGCTGCCAGATGTGGTGCTCTACAACAAGTAGGTGGCTTGGGATTTTTTTTTGGGGGGGGTGTCCATGCCCCAACCCCATCCGGGGCTCGGGGCGGTGCCGTGGCAGCACTGGGGCTGACAGCGCATCCCTTCACTGCAGCGCTGACGGGATGTACGAGGTCTCCTTCTACTCCAACGCGGTGATCTCCTACGACGGCAGCATTTTCTGGCTGCCGCCGGCCATCTACAAGAGCGCGTGCAAGATCGAGGTGAAACACTTCCCCTTCGACCAGCAGAACTGCACCATGAAGTTCCGCTCCTGGACCTACGACCGCACTGAGATCGACCTGGTGCTGAAGAGCGAGGTGGCCAGCCTGGACGACTTCACGCCCAGCGGCGAATGGGACATCGTGGCACTGCCAGGACGGCGCAACGAGAACCCCGACGACTCCACCTACGTGGACATCACCTACGACTTCATCATCCGACGCAAGCCGCTCTTCTACACCATCAACCTCATCATCCCCTGCATTCTCATCACCTCCCTGGCCATCCTCGTCTTCTACCTCCCGTCCGACTGTGGCGAGAAGATGACGCTGTGCATCTCCGTCCTGCTCGCCCTGACCGTCTTCCTGCTGCTAATCTCCAAGATCGTGCCGCCCACCTCGCTGGACGTGCCGCTGGTGGGCAAGTACCTCATGTTCACCATGGTGCTGGTGACCTTCTCCATCGTCATCAGCGTCTGCGTCCTCAACGTGCACCACCGCTCGCCCACCACGCACACCATGCCGCCCTGGGTCCGCACCCTCTTTCTCCGCAAGCTCCCGGCGCTGCTTTTCATGAAGCAGCCGCGGCAGAACTGCGCGCGCCAGCGCCTGCGCCAACGCCGCCACACCCAGGAGCGCGCCGCCGCTGCCCCCGCCA